CTTGACTTATCCAAAAGTCTTCCACTCCAGGCGAGGACAGGAAAACGTGTTCATCCACTCATCCGAGAAGTCACCGCTGTAACTGGGCACCATTGTGAATAAAGACTAATCTCTGGCGCGTCAGCACTAGCCACAGGTTGCTCGAGTCGGCATCATTCGGCACAGGCCGGGCTTAAGCTTCGTACGTGTGAAAACAGAGGTAAATGTGCGCACAGTGGATTAACATCTGGACCTTATGGCAAGGAAAAAAAGAAGCTTCATGATATCCGTTTACCTCAGGCTATATCTGTACACACCCATAGCCCGGGCGAGGCTCAGCTTCGCATATCGGACTTATCCTTATCCACCCACGCATTTGCGCTCGGGTTTGGCGAGCATAAACGTACGCGGCGATGCTCGTGATGCCGTGACATAGCCAGTATTACTTAGGCGTATTACTTAAAGTGAATATGCCTAAACGGAAGAATCTTCATTTTGCACGACTTTCAAACGTAGAAAATTTCTTAACCACAAAAGGATAACAGGGGTTTCTCAGGTTCTTCGATTGTACAAGTTTAGGTATTGTTTTCTAAATACAATTCTATATTACAAAAATTCTGAAGACGGCCTTGAAAATGGCGAATATTATGTAGTTGTAACTATGGGATTGTAATAGCAAGACATCATATAACTAGGCCACTCAAGAGTTTCTAGAACAAATCTTCCCCATAGAAAATATGCATTCAAATGTTACGCTTCACCGTTACTAACACGGTGCATCAGGCAATACACGATAATCGGAAGCGTTCGACTTGTTACTATTGGCATTTAGTGGAATTAGTCCTTTCGGACTTGCATTCATTATGTAACCTCCAACTCCCGCCTCACGTAAGAGAATTTTAGGCTAATGTACTTATTGCTATGCAAAAAAGCAGGGTAGATAAAAAGTAGACCAAGATCCTACTTGTACCTTCATCTCTAGTAACGTGAGGGGGGCATACAGCAAGATAATTACTACCGTTTCCTTTCTTACTTAAACTGACAGGTAAGTTAGGTAAATTAGGAAGCTATTCACAAGCAAAGTTTATTTTAAATCATGAATAATTTAATGGCCGTAAAACTGGGTAGAAGTAACAAAGTTGGTGACGTAATGGGTCGTGGTGGTGATTACGTGCTGGACAAGTTCTTGTGTAGTCCAAACGGGCAGAGTTGTTACCTGAAATATACAACAGTTACAGACAACTTGTACGATTCATGAATGTCTATTCTAGATGGGGGGGGGGGGGTATTTCCAATGTAACTTAAATAGTCCAAATCTTACTTCACAAAAGAAAGGGTTACCTGGTAGTCGGTAGAGACGTGGTAGATGCTCTGCCAGAATTTAACGGTCTCGGTGGTGGTCACGAAGCTGGTGAAGACGGAGACGAAGGTGCGGGAGGGATTCACGAACTCCTCGGCGGTCTTGATGGCGACCTGGAACCCAAGAACCAGGTCAGGGCTCGCATTCATTAGAAATATAAACAATATTCGGAAGATCAGCTACATGCATGGCTCTCCTTACCGGTGTGGTGGTGACCCTGAGCACCGAGGTCACCGTCCTGGCCACCTCGGGCACGAAGTCGCGCTCCGTCGTGTACACCGTCACGGGGAGCTCCACGAAGGTGCTCTCGGTCACCCAGATGTCGCTCGTCGTCGTCACGCGGAACGTGTGCGTCACCGTGTCCTGCGAGAACAAACGTTAGTTCTTGCAATTACATTGAAGAGATTATGAAGATTCCTTAAGCACTCGAAACCCGCCTTCTTACCGTCCTCGTCACGGTCTCCGTCACGGGGCGAGCAACCCGCGGCTCTGGGATTCTGCCGTGGCTTTCGTACTGTGCAGAGGCACCCAGCACCTGGGGATTCAGAGATAGCAGTCAAGTTAATTGCCAACTTGACAATTCCTAAAACTACATTTCACTGGTTTCGTTAAGAAAATAAAACATACATACCAGCCCTAAAGCAAGGATAAATGAAGGACCCACAGCCATCTGAAAAAGAGAAATGTATCAAGGACGGCATATGCCATGGGCAGTTCTTTACGGCACAGATGCACTCGTCAGACTAAATTCCCAACTCCACGTCACAATTTATTTTACAACCCAAGTTCCTTTCACTAGGCATTCCCTAAGGGCACTGCCCACTAACACTCCCCGGCAAACCTTTTTTTCCACCTAGTTATGCAAGGTAAGAGCTGAAACTTGGATGCTCCGAGTGCGGTCTTTTCCACGATTTTTTCCTTGTGTGTCGTTACCGTTTTGTTTGTATTTACAGATTTCTGGCACTCACAATTACAACTTTATACTTAAAAGAACATTAACCTACCCTACCTTACAACATCCATGCCACAAATATTAACCACGAAATCTATAAAACTAATAATTCTAAACACAAAAGGACAATAACGCACTGTTACTTCAGTTGACTCAGACGACCTTCTTAGCACCACGGAGCACGGAGACTGGGCTGATTCCTGCCTTTC